AGCCAGGCAGCGGCCCCGTGTGGTTTACACAGCGACAGGCACGGTGACGTGGTCCCTCTCTCATGGGCACGGGAGGCCTTGAACGAGGGGAGACGAGTGTGAGGCTCTCGTGCACGTGGGAGTCTGGGTGAGCTGAGGCGGTGTGGACGCCGGACAGCCCTCCTGAGGATGCTGAAGTCGGAGCGGAGAGTAGGGCTTGCCTGGGCTGGGCTGGAAGGGTGTTTCTGGCAGAAGGAACAGCAGATTCCTCCAGCTCAGCTCATGGTCACCTTGTCCTGGTTGTACGGGCCACCAAGACTGGGGTCACTTGGACCTCTGTCTTTGTCCATTCCCGATGTCCCATCTTTTGGAGAGTATCTGAAATCCTGTCATGTCCCACCAGCCCTGTTTCACTTGTAGGTCCAGGGAACTGCAATAACCGCGCAGCTGGTCTCGGGCCTTCTGCTCTCGGTGGTCTCTTCCCAGGGGAGCCTCCAGCTTAGCCTGTTAAGTAAGAGTCAGTCATGTCACTCCGCTGCTCAAAACCCTCCAGGGTCTCCCCTCACCCACCAGGTCAAAAGACTGTCCTTACCAATGACCAAGCCCACTCCAACCCCCGCTCACCCTCGCTCGCTGCCTCAGGGCCTTTGCTCTGGTTGGGAGTGCCCTCTGCCTACAATATTGAATTAGTGAACAGGGGCACACGTTGGAGGAACTAGGAGAACACTGGGCAGAGGTGATGTCAGCGTGTGAGGTGAAACCCCAGGTAGCTGAGAGCCATTTGAGGAGCTGGGATAGGAGGCCATTTAGAGATTGGGGACAATAAGCCCTCACATGCGTGGTGACTGTCCTGGTGCACCTTTCCAGTCATAAAACAGAAATAACTTTCGAGGTCACCTTTTTGAAGGTGAGTAGCGATGCAGAGCACAGTGAATCACAAATATTTCCTGGGATAAATTGTATTTTCCCCCGAAACTCATTGCGAATGTGATGTTCCGCAGCCAATTGACCGTTTCCGGGGTTTGGTTTGCTGGGTGGGCTTGCGGTGCCTGAGGACTTTTCCCTGGGCTGTGGGAGGGTCCTGTTTAGAATCCGGCTGGGCGCAGAGGGAGGCCAGGCTGGTGTCTAGCGGCCTCGCCAACACTCCAAGGCCACGACCTCAAGACACTGCTAACATTAGCCAACCCTTCGGACACATGATGTGTGCGAGGTCCGGCGCTACGCGCTTTGCAGTAGATTATCTCATTTAATCCTCAAGGAACCTTGGGACGTAGATATTATTATTAGCCCTGATTCCACAGATTAGCAAACTAACCCGTAGAAAGGTTAAGTAGCTGGAAGGTCAGCTAGGAGCAGCGGGGCAGAGACACAGACTCTGGCTTTGTCCCCATTCCTACCTAACAGTGTCTCGACACGCTTTACCACCCGTTCTGAAAGCAAGAAGATGTTATTCTGAAGCACGGGATGTAAGAACGTATGGCTTTTCATGGCAGTTTGATTTTATGGAGCACGGATTAAGTAAATAACTAGGTAGTAAAATTAATTGGTTAAAATTTAAAAAATGAACTAAAATGAAATAAAATAATATTTTTTAAAAAGATGTTTGAAGCTCGGTGTAAGGGAAGAGGTGTGTTTTGGTGTTATTCTGGAAGAACTGCCAGACTAGACTTCACTGTGTGTTGTAGGTGTGTGTCTGGATTAGCGCCAGCTGTCACTCTGATGAAGGTGGCACAGACTGAGAGCCCTTGGCCGTTACCTGTGACTTGGTCTTCAAGTCAGTAAATGACCCTTTCTGGTGCTATAAGAATGAATCGTTGGCAATTCTCGTGGCATGTTCCTGGCTGTTGGTCCCAGTGAATATGGCAAGTTAATGGAGAGGGTGGCTGCTGCCCACCATGCCCGAGGCCTGCCTTCCCATCATGCCTGAGGGTATGTGTCGTGGGAGGAGCCCAGCAGGAGGGAACTCTCCTGTCGAGGGCTGCTCTGTCATTAGCGTTGACCTCTGCTGGTATACGACAAAAAGTTTTGTCCAAAGTGTTTAAAAAAAAAAGATTTTATTTATTTTATAGAGAAAGAGAGAGAGAGAGCACGAGTAGGCAGAACAGTAGGCAGAGAGAGGGACAAGCAGGCTCCCCGCTGAGCAGAGAGCCTGATGCGGGACTTGTTCCCAGGGCTTCCAGATCATGACCTGAGCTGAAGGCAGATGCTTAACCATCTGAGCCACCCAGGCATCTCTCCAAAGTGTTTTAAAAATGACAAGCTTCTTGGGGCACCTGGTGGCTCAGTCAGTTGAGCATCTGACTCTTGATTTTGGCTCAGGTCATGATCTCGGGGTCCTGGGATTGAGCCCCGCGTCTAGCTCTGTGCTCAGCACAGAGTCTGCATGAGATTCTCACTCTCACTCTCCCTCTGCTCCCCCTTGTGTGCTCTCTCCATCTCTCTCTCTCTCTCTCGTGCATATACATACATGCTCTCTCTCTCAAATAAATAAATCTTTAAAAAAGTAACAAGCTTGTTGGAAACAGTGTTTTAATTTAAAATTAGGTCTTCTAGAAAAGGCCTACTTGGAAAATGGTCTGTAGGGCATAGAAACATACAGGACTGTGATCTAGGGTAGAGCTTCCAAATATCTTCTCGCTATGGCACACACAGAGGATAACATTTGTATCGCACACCAGGGTAGGCGGTAGGTGTTCATGCCCAGGGTGGCCGCTTGAGATCTTGGGGGTCCCCAAGGCCCACCTACTGCCCAAATGTGGAGACCATCGAAATTTCTGCCCCTCGCCTGGCAAGGACCAGTAGGAGGGAAGATCTGATGAATGATATATTTTTTTAATTTTTAAAATTATTTATTTATTTATTTATTTATTATTAATTTATTTGACAGAGAGAGAAAGATCACAAGTAGGCAGAGAGGCAGGCAGAGAGAGAGGGGGAAGCAGGCTCCCTACTGAGCAGAGAGCCCGATGCGGAGCTCGATCCCAGGACCCTGAGATCATGACCTGGGCCGAAGGCAGAGGCTTAACCCACTGAGCCACCCAGGCACCCCGAATGAGATTTTTAAACCCAGTCCTCATATTTCTGCAAAAATAGTTTTATGAGAGCCTTTCCTATTCTTCAGGTGTGTGGTTATGAAGATAAATTCTTCTGAGGGGATTCCAATTTCTGAAGCTTACTTTATTAGAGAAGAATTGTTTTACAGTGATTCTGTGTTTGTACCTCGTCCTAGGGAAACTTAAGTTCATTAAAAAAATAATAGGACCCATAACAGAGGTGGATATATAATCATCTGTAACGTAGAACTGGAACATTGCTTTTATGATTTTAATAATTGCAACTGGTTCTATCTTGATGGGCAGTTTCTAAGGAAATGTTCTTAAAATCCAAGCTTGGGCACTGACATTTTTCAACCGAAGACATGAAACTTATCAAATTTAGTAACTTTTCTCCCAAGTGAAGACAATGATTTTAAAAATAATTAATATGTATCCTCTTACAGACCATGATATGAGTACATAAACTGTATATTTTTTTACGATATTATGTTAGTCACCATACAGAACTTCATTAGCTTTTGATGTAGTGTTCCATGATTCATTATTTGTGTATAGTACCCAGTGCTCCTTGCAATACGTGCCCTCCTTAATAACTACCACAAGGCTCACCCCTCCCCCTACCGCCCCCCCAACCTCTCTGAAACCCTCAGTTTGATTCCCGGAGTCATAGTCTCCCATGGTTCCTCTCCCGCTCTGATTTCCACCTCCTTCATTTCCCCCTTCCTTTTCCTAATGTCCTCCATGCTATTCCTTATGTTTCACAAATAGGTGAAACCGTATGATAATTATCTTTCTCTGCTTGACTTATTTCACTCAGCGTAATCTCCTCCAGTCCCGTCCATGTTGATGCAAATGTGGGTACTTATCCTTTCTGATGCCTGAGTAATACTCCATTGTATACATGAACCACATCTTCTTTATCCATCTGTCTGTTGAAGGGCATCTCAGCTCATTCCACAGTTTGGCTATTGTGGCCATTGCCGCTATAAACATTGGGGTACAGATGGCCCTTCTTTTCACTACATCTGTATCTTTGGGGTAAATACCCAGTAGTGCAATTGCTGGGTCATAGGGTAGCTCTGTTTTTAATTTCTTAAGGAATCTCCACACTGTTCTCCAAAGTGGCTGCACCAACTTGCATTCCCACCAACAGTGTAAGAGGGTTCCCCTTTCTCCACATCCTCACCAACACATGTTGTTTCCTGCCTTGTTAATTTTTGCCATTCTAACTGGTGTATGGTGGTACCTCCATGTGGTTTTGATTTGAATCTCCCTGATGGCTAGTGATGATGAACAGTTTTTCATGTGTCTGATAGCCATTTGTATGTCTTTTTTGGAGAAGTGTCTGTTCATGTCTTCTGCCCATTTTTTGATTTGATTTTATATTTTTTGGGTGTTGAGTTTGAGAAGTTCTTTATAGACCTTGGCTACCAGCCCTTTATCTGTAAGGTCAATTGCAAATATCTTCAATTCTGTGGGTTGCCTTTTGGTTTTGGTCAACTAATCTTTGACAAAGCAGGAAAAAATATCCAATGGAAAACAGACAGTCCCTTCAATAAACGGTGCGGGGGAAATTGAGGAGCTATATGTAGGAGAATGCAAATGGACCATTCTCTTACACTGCACACAAAGGTAAACTCTAAATGGATGAAAGACCTCAGTGTGCGACAGGAATCCATCAACATCTGAGAGGAGACCATAGGCAGGAACCTCTTCGACATCAGAAACGATCAATAAACTGTGCATTCTAACACCAGGAAGAATAAAAATCAGGGAGGCTGCACCCTCACTAAGAAGATTCTTCAAAGCACCAGCTGAGAGGCAGAGGTGGCGGCCGTGAACGCAGGGGCTGTCGTGTTAGGTCATTAGGATGAACGCCGGTGGGGGGCGGGGCTCTGGGATGCGGGTTCCGCATCTCAAGTGTCACAGCTCTTGACTCCTCTCTTTCATGTTCTGGGTTTCCAGCCGAGGCGTTAAGACACCGGCTAGAGGAGCTGGACACAGAGAGGAGCAGCCTGCACTTCCAGCTCCCGTCAAGGCAGCCGGCGCTCTGCAGCCTGCTGGGCCACCTGCACGCCCAGGCCCAAGCTGCTGCGCACCGCAGGGCCGCTCCGCCGTGAGTACTCACGCTCGCCCCCACTTTCCTCCCCTGGCTCCCACGTGGTGAAGAGCGGGGCGTGACACAGCCAGGGACACCCTCAGCCACCTTTTCCTGGGATGTGCCCTTTGGTTGGTTGGTTGGGCAGGTGGGGGCTCCTTCCTCAGTGAGCGCCTGGTGTGGGTCCCGCTCCCCTGTGAAGCCATTTCTGCTCATGTTTCTGCTCCCGGAGGGTCGGAGGGTGGGAGGGTTGGGGTGCTAAGCTTGCCCTGGGAAGCCGAGCTTCTCAGAAGGTGGGGTGCATTCGCTCTTGGTAGGAGCTGCCTGGGAAGCCTGCGGGATCCGTAGGTGGTCGCCTCTGCCTGAAGGCTGATAGCACTTCCTCCTCCTCACTCGCTTCCTGCTTCTGATCAATGTTGGCTGTTTCTGCTACACGGGGGTCCCCGGGGACTGCTGGTCTGCAGGGCACGACCGCGCTCTCCAATGCAGTGGTTGTCAATCCTGGCTGCTTGTTTGAGTCCCCTGGAGAGGTTTTAAGTGTCCAGCTTCCACCCACACTGATCAGATCAGGCTCTCCGGGGGTGGGTCCCAGGCACTGGCACGTCTGGAAAGTCTGGGGACCCTGCTCTCATCCACCTGCTTGTTGGCTCGCTTCTGGGTAAAAGCTTGCAAGAGAACGCATTTGTGACCCATGCCAGCAGCCTCGTCACAGGTCAGGCCTGCTTCTGCTTAGGTGTAAACACGGCCACAGCAATTACATTTTATTTCCAACTTCTTCTGAATCCCGAAAATCGCAAGATCGATTCTCTGGCTTATTCCTGTTAAGTGTGCACGGCATCATTCCTTCGGTCTACCTTGGTGCTCCCTTACAGCCTGTCTTAACAGAGATGCCAATTGTTTTCACATATTCTCGCCCTGCAGTTTGCTGGTAGCTCACAGCTGCATGCCGGGCCCCTGGCAGGTGCTTCCTCAGAAATATTTGTTGAGTGAACTTCTTCTGGGCTTCTTAAAGGGCAGGTGGATTGCACCTCTCTGTTTCTATTCATTTTTTCATCCGGCATTGAGGTATCCTCATTTCCTCTCCATTTCTCACATGGAGTCCTTCCCAACTTGACTTTCTACTGAATTCTTTCTTTCTCCTGTTCTTTGGGGTCCTTCACTCCTGTCTTGGGTCATGGTTAACATCTGCCAATGTATTGTGTTACAAAATAAATAAAGGTGTTTTAATTATTTAAAACACAATAAATGTGTTTCTATTTATTTAACAACGTTCGCATAATGGTTACCAAGGGCTTTAGAAACTAACTACTTTTTTAAAATTTTTATTGTGATAAAGTATATGTAACATATAATTTGCCATTTCAGCCATTTTTAAGTGTACAGGTTGAAGACACAATAGCGTTGTGCCGCTATCACCACAATCCATCTTTAGAACTCTCGTCATCTTCCCAAACTGACATTCTGTCCTTACTAAATATGCGCTCCCCATTCGCTAACCTGTCCCCAGCCCTGGGCCACCACCATTCTACATTCTGTCCCTTTGATTTTGACTCTTCTCGGGATCTCATATAAATGGAATCACACAATATTTGTCCTTATTTCACTGACCATAATGTCCCCAAGTTCCATCCACATCGTGCCATGGGTCAGAATTTTCTTCCTTCAGAAGGCTGAGTACTGTTTCCTTGTGAGGAGGGACCACATTTTGCTTACCTATTCTTCCTACAACGGACAGGAAGGAACTGATTTAATCCTCAAGACAATTCTAGGAGGTAGAAGTACTTTATATATAATCTATATGGATTTTTTTTTGTATATAATCTATATGGAGGTCACCATCGTTGTCATTTGTATTTGTATGAGGTTAATGGGCTCATGCAGAACCCCCAGCAGGTGGGTGCCAAGACCGGACACAGGGCTGGTGGTCTGGCGCGAGTCCCGGCTTGGAACTGGCTTGCTGGGCTGCCTGAGTCAGAGCTGGCAAAGGCTTTTCAATGACTGTCTGTTTAGCCTACATGTGATTTGAATGGAGAGCGATGCTTTAGTTATGATCTTGGCTGAGTTTCTCACGGAACGCCGTGAACACAGTGTCACCCATTGTCACTCAGGTTACACCATCGGACATTCCTTCTATCTGACTGTGTCTTATGAAGAAGGCAGCTTCATAGAGTTCAATTTTAAATAAAAGTATATTCCTTTATTAACCATTTATTAAGCCAATATAAGCTGTTGGCTTCCCTTGTTAACTGTTATCCCCTTGTCATTTTCCCCAAGGGGTTACCTGCGTGCTGTACTTTTTAGTTCTTGTCCACTCTTGGGGTGAATGGGATCTGACCTCTATGATCTGATTTCTGACCCGATTTTCATCTGTCCTCTGATTTCCATCTCTATCACTGTTGCAATAGCAGTGATTTTCTGTTGGATTTAAAGGGCGTTTTTCAATTCTTACTCTGCTCTGTATCACTGCATGGTCTGGAATTTTTAATCAATCACATTCCCTCCTAAGACTCTCTCTCCCCTGTCCTTTCATGACTCATCCTTTCTTGGTCTTCTTGCTATCTTGCTGGCCGTTCTTCGCAACCTCTTGTGAGCTCCTTTTCCTCTCCCCGTCTCCTTGATATGCATGTTCCTCTGTCTTCTGTTCTAGCTCGTCCTGTCTCTCACTTTATATAGTGACATGAAATACTCCCGTGCTTCAGGTTCTATTAACATTCTAATTTCCCTCACGTTTCTGTCCTTAGCCCTGATCCCTATCCAGGGTTCCAACCTACTGTTTGGGTTTTAATGAACATCTCCCTAACTTTGGCCGAGTTTACTGTTTCTTTATCTTTATTTTATCCTAAAAATGTACTGTATTTTTCTCCTTGCCTTTATTAAATTTATCTTTAAACTATTTATTAGATTTACTGTCCTTCTCCCCAGTCAGCCCCTTCTAATATATCTCCGATCTCCGTGACTTATGTCACTGACCAAGTTCCCCAGGCAGGAACTCTGAGCCATACATGACGCCTCCTTTTGCCTTACTTCTAACTTCGTTGTTGATCCTACTGTCTGACCTTATCTCATTCCCACTCACTTTGCTCACTCATGACACTCAGAGTTTATTTGTTTCTTTCTTTCTAGAAAGAGAGAGTGTGGCACAGGTACGAGTGTTGGGGGCGGGGCAGAGGGAGAGAGAGAACCTTAGGCAGTCTCTGTGCTAAGCCTGGAGCCCAACGTGGGGCTTGATCTCGCAAACGTGGGATCATGACTTGAGCTGAAATCAAGAGTTGGGTGCTCAGCTGACAGAGCCACCAGGGGCTCCTCAGATTTTCTCATCTGGATTACTGCAATGGTCCCCTTGCTGGTGCTCCTGATTCCAGTATCATTGTCTCTCACCCTCCTCAGCACCACAGATGGTAATAATTGTGCATGTCCAATGGCTCTCAGCATCTTCCAGATGAGATCCGTGCTGATTACTTAGCGTGACATTCAAAGCTTTTCCAGTCCAGCTCCTGCCCTGCTTCTCAGTAGCCCAGAATCTGAGCAGCCATCACCAACCCCTGCAGTCCCCACACACTGAAGTGTTAGAAGTCACCTGCGTGCTGTAATGTGTCTGAATTCTGTGATCTTGTACATGGCCCACTGTGACCGCCTCTTGCTCATTCTTCGAGACTCAGCTCAGCTGCCGTCCTTGTGAAACCTTGTCCTGAAATCATACCATCTCCCCCCTTGAATGACTGGAGCACCTTCAATTACCTCACCCCTGTCTTGGTCTCCAATAAATCAGTCTGTGTCCTGGACTATCAGTCTGCTCTTCAGACGGTGAGCTCAAGGACAAGACTGTGTTTGTATTTACCCTTTTATTCCTGGAGACTAGAACAGTGGCTGATCCCAAATAGGTATTCCATAAATATTCACTGAATGAATGAATATGGTCGTATGTGGAAGGTATATGTGATATCTATTGAGAGAGAGAGAGAGAGAGCCTGCACTCTAATGTGGCTCAGTTTCCCTAGAGAAAATGCTCCTTCAGCCTTTTTTCTGACGCCTCCGGCAAGGACTTCTACAGTTCTTCTTGATAGAACCGTGGATTACAGGTCGGGAGGCCTGAGTTCTGGTCCGATTTCTCTACTAACCAGCTATGTAGGACCTGGTATAGTTTCCTAACTTCTCCACACTTCACTCTCCTCATCAGAAAATGAGGGGTTTGAATGAGATCACTATTTTCCAAACTTCAGTGATTTATGTATAATTGTGGCTTTTCTTTGCCAAAATACCTGTCCTATTATTGATGCAATTAGACAATAGTGACTCAAAATCAACTTCTTAAATTTTTCTAATGGATACAAACAGAATTATGTAGTTCATAATAATCTTCAGAAAGTTGCCTTTCAGTGTGCCAGCTGCCCATCTAGCCTGTCATCAGCGGGGTCACCTGGACTCATGGGTTCCCCACAAACCGAGGGCTGTGGCTGCAGTTCTCACAAGGCCACCAGGGGGCCACGGGTTGGGGCTAAAGCTCACATGGCCTGGAGCCAGACCAAAAAAAAAAAAAAAAAAAAAGTTTCTCACAGGCGGGAGGCTCTCTCTGAGTCAAGGAGGAAACAGGGATATGTTCCAAAGAGTGTTACTTTTCCTACAGAAGTGAAATAGTTGTATTGACATGGGAAATTTCCAGTACTAATGAATAATACAAATGAGTACCTCCTGGGGATCCCTATAACCACTGTGTGCGACCACATGAAGGCTTGCACGCGGTTTCAACAGACTCACAGTCTTCTGAGGCTCATTCCTTCACTCTTTGGGGGGGTCTTTGGTTTTTTTGGGGGTGGGTCTTTGGATCTCAGGTTAAGAAAGTGGTTTAGAGTAAGATTTAAGGAAATGTAAATACCCAAGTACAATCAGGTACGATACTTCATTTTTAGTATTTACTGTCATTTTGTTCTTAATAATCTGTGCCGTTCAACTTTTTTAAAAACCATCGTGTAATTCTCTGAGTCTCATCGTTTCTCGGCTAAGATCGGGCATGGCTCTGG